GAGGTGCTGCAGTCCACAGGCATGCATGCGTCGGATAGGACTGAGAGACCCAGCTGCAATTATAGAGAACTTAATATTGAATGGAGGAAAAATTAATGTCCATATTTTCAAAGTTGACATACATGGAGTCCATATATTGTGCCTGAAAGTGTGCACACAGAAATTCATAAAAGTAAGATAAAGACTTAAATATTTATTTCCTGAGTACATTGAGTTCCATATTGCATACAGGAAAATCTGTATCTAAGTTTTCAAATTACATATATAGGTTTTCCCATCTCATTATATATATAGAAATTGCAGCACTCAGATAGATTTTGAAATATAGAATATAATACATTCCCTATTTCAGAAATTAAAACTGGATCATACTTTTAATAAGGGAAATATGGAGAATTCCATGTTTCAGGAATGAAAATCTACACACACTTACTCACTTGGGACACATAACACATGGCCTGTCATGTGGAGAAAACTCAGTGTCCAGTTTGCTTATAAGGACTATAAGGATTCTGTATTTCATACAAGAATAGCTGAGGTAAGCATTCCATAATTGAAACAGAACATTCCATATTTCATGGACAAAGATTGTGCTCAAATTTTCATATCTGAAATATGTACACTTCACGTGTCCTATTACACATTCTGTATCCTGGTTCCCATATAGGAAATGAACAAAAACCTCAATTTTCCCAATCATAAATTCCTCATAACTTGAATGAGAGGGGAATATGTTCAATATAGAGAATTCCACTTTGCATGTAGGTAACACTGCTTGCAGATTTATGTGTGTAAGATATAGAGGATTCCATATTTCCATTACAAATATCCACACCTAAATGGAGAAATATGACACATAGAACATACCATATTTCATGCAAGAAAAACCTGTGCCTTAATTTTTATCTGTTAAATTTAGATGTTGGCCAAATTCAGGAGGAAGTTCTGTATCGTTTCATGAATAAATTCCCAATGTTCCTTATTTCATGAGGGAAATATCTGCACTCATACTATCATAACAAAAATAAATATAATGACATATGTGAAATAGCCTGGAGTGAAAGTTAGATCCTGAAACAACTGAGCATTTAATAAGTAACATAGGATAAGAGGTGCCCTGATTTTCTATAGAATTCCAAAACTTAATGTAATATAACCTGCACACAGAAGCAGATGAATGGAAATGGAATATGTGGTGCACACACACACAAGCCAGCTGTATCACTCAGCTATTAAAAGGAAAGCATTTGACTCAACTCGAACGAGGTGGATGAACATCAGTTTCTTCTACAGAGTAAACTCATAAAGCGAAAGACAAGTATTGAAGACTAACACAAGTATACAGAATTTAAAAAGACAGCACTGGCAATCATACACAAAGGACGTCAAAAATGACACGGACATAAAAAACAGACTTCTGAACTGAGCGGGATAAGGCAAGGGCAGGATGAATTGAGAAAATAGCACTGAAATGTATACCTTACCATGTTTATGTAAAATAAATGACCAGTGCGGGTTTGGTACAGAAAGCAGGATATCCAAAGTCGTACTCTAGGATAACTCAAAGGGAGCAAGTGGGGAGGAAGTTCAGAGGTGGGTTCAGAAAGTGATGTGTGTGTGGACCACATGTATACCTTTGGCTGATTTATCTTTGTATATGGCAAAAATAATAATGGTGTTGAAAAGAAATTTCCCTTTGATTACAGTAAATAAACCAATAAAAGACTATTCACCACATCATTGTGCAATGGCTTGGAATCTCTGAAGGACTGTTGGAGGCAAGAGAAGCTGAAAACTTACAATGCAAGTGTGATGATGAAAAGCAAAACAAACGATGCCTACTGCTGCACAGCACCGTGCAAAAGAGACTCACTGATAGTTTTCAGAAAGGGGTTTTCAAAAGGAATAGATAGAAGTTCAGCCAAAATTGAAGGTGAACCTGTGGTTAGGGGTGAAGGACATGGAATGATTGTCCAGAGGCTCAGTGCAGCTGAGTCCTCTGTAAATCTGAGTAGTGGGTTTTGGATGGTCAGGTTGATTCATCTACCACAAGCTTCCGCTTCCTTAGAGAGAACCTGTTTTCCACTACTGCTACACAAATGCTGTGTCATGCAGCTGCCCTCATGCCATGTTCTCACTTTGTGTTCCAGAGAGGTTCGGTTTCTCCACAAGTGAAATAAATGACCCAGGTTCCTGGTTACAGGTCTGTCAGTGCCCAGCCCCCAGTCTCCTCACATGACTTCCTCCCAGTTACCTCTCGTGGTGGAGCCTTCTCTCGCAACTTGTACTGAGAGGTTTGGGACCCAGAACCTGAATGATGATCTGCCAGGGAAATGAGCAAGATCACCACAGGACTAGTTGAACACTGAGCCCTCCAAGAACTTAGAAATCAATTGCCAATTCTCTGCAGGCACAGAGGAAACTCACGTCTGCTATCTGAGAGAATACTGCAAAGTTGTGCTCAGAAAACCAGTTGAAGATATTCATGCTGTATCTGGGATTGTGGTGCCTGTGGGGCTGTATGTCTTACATTCAAACCCCTGGTACCACTGTGTTGTTGGGGGTGAGTTGCTGGTTGAGGATCCTCCAGGATAGAAAGTATGGGAGATGGGCTTAAATCACCTGCCAAGGCCAACCTATCTCTTTTTGTCCCCACTCTCAATATTCTGGGAGATGCCTCATACCAGTGAGGCTACCTACTACTTAACAATCAGTTCTTTCGGAATCACAAACCCTTGCCAAAGAACAATGTACTCTTACAGTCATCAGTGGGTTTCCTGAGTTCCTCCACTTGCCAGGACAAAGTCAGCATAGGTGGAGTATAAAACCTCATTACATTAGAGCTGTCCTTCCCTCTTCACAGGGACAAATCATGTCCCCTCTCACTCTCACTCACCTCCCTTTCATATATCATTGTCCATCATCTGACATTCAAGTTCATCATGTAGCAGGGAAGCTTGTCTTCTTCAAGGACACTCAGCACGGCTGTCTTCTGGTATGGTTCACAAACTGCTTTGGGTCAAGGAGCCATTAGGTGCTAGAGGTGACAGGACCTGAAGACAGACTCTGGCCAGAGTCGTCTTACATCATCTGAATTCAATTTGCATCTTGTAACAAGTCATGTTCTGCTAATCCAGACTGTATGAAGGCCCAACAAAACCCAAGGCTGTGCATATCAGTGTATTCCCACAAGGAGGAACTGTTCCTATGGGGAAGGACCTAAGCACAATCTCAGAGTCCTGAAAATTACCTTATTCCTGAAAACACAGGATCCTAGCTAGGATTAGCATGACCATTTAGAAATACAGGCATCTCTCCCCACCCCCCCAAATTCACTCAGCATTTTGGACAGAACCTGTGTAGCACACTACCCATTTTTCTGAAGATTTCATCCCTGGTGTTAATGACAGTTCTGATTAGGACTGCTGCAAGGAAAGATGGAGTATCAATATGTGTTCATCAGAAGAACAGTGACATAACCCTTGAGATCATGAATAGATAACACCCATAAATTAATAAATGATTTTGTACCCTAGCTACCAGACCTGCAAACTCTTTCTCTCATAACCCATATAAAATGGATTCCACAAACACCACAGGAGGTCAACAACTTGGACCCAGAAGTGGTGGATTCCCCAGATGATGGAGGTTTTGTGTTTTGGTCAGATCTTCCACTTCTGACTGATCTTGTGTTTTATCAGATACTAGGCCTCTTGGGGTACACCGGGAGTGCTTTGTGAGCCCCACCACTTTGCTTTCTCTGGGTGACCCCTCAAACCCTCTACACCTACATCCTTGTATAAACACACACACAACACAACAGAAAATATGAACTTCTTTATTTTTCTTGATGTTATCTCTTATTTGTGGACACATGGTGCTGAGTTTTCACTAATTATTTTTTTCCCCATGCCTTTCCTGGACAACAGCACTTTGGACATAGGGCAACCAGTCTCCCACAGTCACTGGAAGCCTCATGCCTCCTCTTCCAGTGGCTCCACTGCTCCTCTGTTGCTTTAATCTGTGCATCTGCTTTGGGCCAGACACACACATATATATACACTCACCAGGAAGCACACAGAGACACAGGCAACAGAAGAACATGTATGCAGACAGATTTGCCAGGCACATGGACACAAGGCAAACAGAGAACATAATTATTCAGTAGTGGAAGAGGCCTGTGTCTAGCAGTGCGAGAGAGATGACATCACTAGGCACCTTGTCCTGCAAATTTGAGATCCTTTCCATTTCCTTCCCCAGCTCTTCAGTATTATCTCCAGCCTCCCTGAAGACTTTTCCAATTCTGACTGGGCAGTGGTGTTGAGAGATCAAGTGTTGTATGTGGAAATTCAGAGATGATGTCAAACTCAACAAAGAAGTGCCATGGGACACCGGAGACAAAGCTCTTGCAATGGGTAAGCCCTCCCAGGAGGAGGAGTGGGAGTGAAGGGCTCAGGCAATCCCAGTCGCCCTGAGCATCAGGAGGCCAAAGGGGTGGCAGAACCCAGGCAAGGTTGATTCTGAAAAAGGTGGCTTATTCACCCTGCCTCCATCAGAATCACCTAGCTCTAGCATGCTGTAAACACAGCTGCTCTGAACGAGACAAGGTCACATTAATTCCCTCAGGCTCCAGTCTCAACCTGTCCCTTGCTACACGCATGACTTGAATCCATACTACACCCTCACACTCCATGAGCCTGGGCTTTCCCACTGGGGCAATGAGAGCATCTTGGCCTCTAAACTTGTAACTTCAGGGCTCATTTTTGATCCCCTCACAACCTATGTGTCTTGTCCCTTACCTATCATGGCATGACCTTCCTCGTAGAGGTAGTATTGCAGGATATTTACCCTCAGGTCCTGGCCCAGGATCTGCTGGCTACAGGAGCCAGGGTAGCATGAGCCTGACTAGGCCCCAAATCCTCCCATTGACAGCCAAGAACCCCAACAATAATGGCTCATTCTGGGGATGCCCAGAGAGACTCTGCCTCAGCAATCCTGTTCTATCCTTCACAGTTGTGGTTCAACAACCAGTTGAGACATTTCATGCTGCTGGTGTCCAGCCTGAGGCTGGGAACTCCCCAAATATCATTACAGAACCTGTGGACTGGAGAAGCAATACAGGTCCAATATCCTGGAAGAGGACAGAGACAAGAAAGGTTCAATAAGGAAGAACATCTAATCCATCCCTAGCCCACCTACACTGCCCTGGGATTTATGTTATACCAGTGATGCCAAGGTGGTACTCCTTAATGATCTCTATTCCTGAAGTACTGGTTCTCCCGAAAGGTAAATATCAGCTTGCAACAGGACTGGGGATGGCCTAGTTCCTGCATCTGCCAGGACCAAGTGGATGGAAAAGGTCAAGGCAGAAACTTCTAGGGTCCTCAGCATGTCTGGCAGGCAGGCATCAACAGAGTCCATTTTTCCTCTCCAAAGTTTCACACTGATGCACGCACCTGGGTAATAGGATCACCCAACCTGTATTGCCTGCCCAGCTTCTCCAACCACCTGTCCTCAATCTCACAAACTGACCTTCAAATCTGTCAAGTAGCCAAACAAATCTTCATCTTGTTCATTTATCAAGATGGACATATGGGGGTGGTTCAGACCTGCTTAAGGTTAAAGAATCAGTCATGCAAAATGCCGAGAAAGGAAGAGTCTCTAGTAACAAAAACGCCTCAGGCAGAGCAGGGACACCCGAACAGGCATCTGCAAGAATTCTGGGTATTCCCTCTTCCAAAGCTGTCAGTTTGACATCCCCAGCCCCTGACCTACCATCAGTCATGTTTGTCACTTTGGGCCCCCATGGTCCTCTGGGACCCTAGACCTCATCCCCAAGATAGGGCCTGTGTCTGAGTGCTACTGATATATGTCTGGCATGTGGGTCCTGGTTAGTCACACGCCAGTTGCTTAAAACTTCAGGATCTGCAGTCATAGTGGCAGGCTTTCTGCATGGGTAAGTGCATGTGTCTGTGTATTTCAAAAGAGAGCCCTGGGTCTCTGACCTGCTCCCTGTCTTCACAATGGGTGGCATGGAAATTACGGAGTGAAATGGCACTAATATTAGAGGAGCACGCTGTCCCTTATGCCTCCACCTGTGGTGGTCAAAATCCTGCTTTTATACTACACTAGAGGGAAAAACGCTCAGGTCTCAGACTGATGGGGATGAGTTGTGGGGCTCCGGAAATTTCTGCTATTTTCAAAGATAACCCACAATGTTAAATAATTTCATGGAAAGCTACTGTGGCACACTGTCTCTGGACCTCTGGTGAGTGACCCTTCAAAGCATCCATTTCTCTTATTGTGCTCCACTGATACTGTCCTGTTACCTTCATTTGTGCATCTGTGGTGGGCCTGAAACACACACACACAGTAAACACACAGAGACACAAGTGACAGAAGATGTGTGTATACAGACACATTTGCCAGATAGAGGGACACCAAGGCAAAGAGAGAACACAGTTGATTCAGTTACTGAAGAGGCCTGTGTCCAACAGTGTGGGAAAGATGACATCACTGGGCACCTTATCCTGCCCATTTGGGATCCCTGTTTATTTCTTCCCCTAGCTCTTCAGTATTACCCAGCTCACGTGAAGACTTTTCCACCTCTGCCTGGGCGGTGGTGGTGAGAGGTCAAGTGTTGGATGTGGAAATTCAGAGACAATCTCAAGGTCAGCACAAAAGTGCCATGGGACACCAGAGAAAAAGCCCTTTCAATGGGTAAGCACTCCCAGCAGGAGGAGTGGCAGTGAAGGGATCAGGTGATCCCAGTCTCCATGAGCAGCAGGAGGTAAAGGGGGCAGCAGGATCTAGGCAAAGATGATTCTGACAAAGGTATTTAATTCACCCTTCCTCTGTCAGCATCACCTAGCTCTCACATGCTGTATCCGCAGCTGCTCTGAATGAGACTGGGACACATTAAGTCCCGAAGCCTGATGTCTCAGGTTGTCCCCTGCAACCATAAATAACTGAATCTTGGCTCTGACTCCAGGCTGCATGAGCCTGAACTTCCCCAATGGGGAAAAAAGAGGGTGTTGGCCTCTAAACAAATGTGCTTTTAGGGGTCATCTGTTGATTCCCTCACAACCTATGTGTAGAGTCCCTTACCTCTCATAGCTCTTTCCTTCCAGGTATAGTACTGAAGGGAATTGACCCACAGGTCCTCACTGATGGTCTGCTGGGCACATGAGCCAGGCCACTATGGGCTGACTAGGCCCTGGACCCTCCTATGGGCAGCCAAAAAGCACAAAGTCAATCACTCCTTCTAGAGAGGCTTAGAGAGAACCCACCTCAGCAATCCAGTTGGATCTTGGACACTTGTGTTTCCACAACCAGTTAAGGAATTTCAAGCTGCTGGTGCCCAGTCTGAGACTGGGAACTCCCCATCCATTATCACAGAACCAGTGGACTTGAGAGGATGTATATGCTCTATATCCTGGAGGAGGACAGAGACAGGAAAGATATAGGAAGGAAACACATCCCTGCTCCCCACACCCACCCACACCGCCAGGCAGTCATTAGTGCCAGGGATAAGAAGATTATACTCCTTAATGGTCTCTCTGCTCCTGAAGTACAGATTGTTGCAAAAGGAAATACCAGCTTTCAGCGGGACTGGGGATGGCATAGTTCCTGCACCTGTCAGGGCCAGGAGGATACAAAAGGTAAAGGTGCAAGCTTCTAGGGTCCTCAGCTTGCCTGCCAGGCAGGCATCAAACAAGTCAGTTTCTGCTCTCCAAAGACTCACACCGATGCACACACCCATGTAATAGGACCCGCCCACCCACTCTTGTCTGCCCAGCTCCTCCACCCACCTGTCTTCAGGCTTGCTCACTGACCTGCAAATCTGTCATGTAGCCAAGCAAGTCTTCACCTTTTAATTGACCATTATGGATATCTAGGGGTGGTTCAGTATCTGCCTAAGGTTAATGAGACAGTCATGCCATATGCTGAAAAAGGAAGAGTCTAAAGTAACACTAAAGGTCAGACTCGGGCAGAGTAAGGACCTCAGAACAGGCATCTGCAATGGTTCTGGGTATTTCCGCTTCCCAAGCCACCGCAATGACACTCCCAGCCCCTGCGACACCATGAGTTGTGCCTGCCACTTTGGGGTCCCTGTGGTCCTCTGGGACCCTTGTCTGCATCCCCCAAAGGAGGGTCTGTGTCTGACCACTGCTGATGTATGTCTGGCAGGTGGGTCCTGGGTAGTGGCATGTAAGTGGCCTAAAATTCTAGGATCTGCAGTCCTTGTGGCATGCCTTCTGCATGGGTAAATGTGTGTGTCTGTGCATTTAACAAGAGAGCCATGGGTCTCTGACTTGCTCCTGGCATTCACAAACAGTTGCATGGATGTTGCAGGGTGATCTGTCACTAACTTTGAGGGAGGATGCCACAGCTTCCACCTCCATCTGTCTTGTGGACAACCTTCTGCGTTTACAGTGCACAAACTTCTTTGGGTGAAGGATCCACTAGGTAATAGAGGTGACAGGGCTGGAAGACAAAACCTGGCCTAGAATCAAACACCATCTGAATTCAATTTGTGTCTTTTAACCAGTCTCCCTCCGCTCACCTAGACTGCATGAAGGCCCAGCAAAACCCAAGACTTTGCATATCAGTGTATTCCCTCAAGGAGGAGCTGTTCCTATGGGGAAGGCCATATGCTCCATCCCTGCCTCCAGAAAACTAGGTTATTCCTGGAAAACACAGGCTCCTAGCTAGGACTAGCATGAGAACTTAGAAATCCCAGAATCCTCACCTGCAAATTCATTCAGTGTTTTGGACAGGACCCATGTCACAGACAACCCATTTTTCTGAAGACCCCCATCCCTGGTGCTGATGAAAATTCTGATTAGGGCCACTGCAAGGAAAGACCAAGTGTCAGTGTATGCTCATCAGAACAAGGACATCATCCATGAGGTCAGGAGTAGATTTGCAGGACTGTAGCCAATACCCATATTCCAGTCAATATACATTTGTACACAAACTGCCAGACCTGCAAACTCTTTCTCTCATAGCCCAGATAAAGTGGATTCCACAGACACCACCTGAAGCCCACAACTTTGACCCAGAAGAGGGGGATACCCTAGATGATGAATCTTTTGTGTACTGCACAAATCTTCCACTTTGGATCGATCTTGTGTTTCATCAGAGAATAGGCCCTTTTGAGTGCTCCACACCACTTCATTTGATCTGGGTGGCTGCTCAAAGCCTCCAATAATGCATCTCAGTATAAATGCACACAGCAACACACCAGCAATTGTGAGCTTCTTTATTGTTTTTGCTGTAATCTCCGATTTGTGGACCCACTGGTCCTGCCTTTTTACTAGCCATTTTTTCCTCACTGCCTTCCTGGACTGGTACAATTTGGAGAGAGGGCAACCAGTCTCCCACAGTCACTGGATGCCTTGTGCCTCCTCTTCTTGTTGATCCATGGCTCCTGTCCTGTTGCCTTTATCTGTGCATCCGCAGTGGGCCCAGAACACACACACACACACACACACACACACTCACACACACACAGAAGCTCACAGAGACACAGGGGATAGAAGAACACGTGTGTATACACATACATTTGCCAGGTACAGGAACACAAAGGCAAACAGGGAACACAGTTGAATCAGTAGTTGAAGAGGCCTGTGTCCGGCAATGTGGGAGTGATGGAATCACTAGGCTCCTTGTCCTACCCCTTTGGGATCCTTGTCAGTTTCCTCCCCCAGCTCTTCAGTATTATCTCCAGCCTGCCTGAAGTCGTTTCCACCTCTGCTTAGGCGGTGGTGGTGAGAGGCCAATTGTTGGATGTGGAAATTCAGAGACGATCTCAAGGTCAGCACAAAAGTGCCATGGGACACTGGAGACAAAGCCCTTGCAATGGGTAAGCCCTCCCAGGAGGAGGAGCAGGAATGAAGGGCTCAGGTGATCCCAGTCTCCATGAGTAACAGGAGGCCAAGGGGGCGGCAGGACCCAGGCAAGAATGATTCTGACAAAGGTATTTAATTCACCCTGCCTCTGTCAGGATCACCTAGCTCTCACATGCTGTATCCACAGCTGCTCTGAATGAGACTAGGAAACATTAGTCCCCAAGCCTGTGGTCTCAGGCTGTCCCCTTCTACCTGCAATACCTAAATCTAGGCTCCACCTCCAGGCTGCATAAGCCTTAGTTTCCCCACTGGGGAAATGAGAGGTTCTTGGCCTGTACATGGATGTGCCTTCAGGGCTCATCTCTTGATCTCCTCACAACCTCTGTTCCTTTTCCCTTACCTCTCATGCCAGCAACTTCTTCCCGGGGGTAGTACTGCAGGGGATTGATCCACAGGTCCTGGCCAATGATCTGCTGGGCAAATGAACAAGGTCATCATGGGCTGACCAGGCCCAGAACCCTCCTATGGGCAGCCAAGAACCCCAACATCAATCGCCCATTCTGAGGAGGCTCAGAGAGACCCTGCCTCAGCAATCCTGTTGGATCCTGGAGAGTTGAGTTTCAACAACCAGTTAACAAAATTTAGCCTGCTGGTTTCCAGCCTGTGACTGCTCAGGAGGAGAAGGAACAGGAGCATAAGGATGGGTAGTGGTAAGGGCACCTACCAGGCCTTTCAAAGGGTAAACCATTCCAGGAGGAGGATCGGGAGTGAAGGACTCAGGTGATCACAATCTCCATGAACAGCACAGGACAAGAAGAAGGCAGGACTGTGGCAGGATTATTCTGAAAAACATACTCAATTCATCCTGCCTCCCTCAGAATCACCTAGATCTGCACGCTGTAAAAACACATGCTCTTAATGAAACTAGGACTCATTAAGTCACTTAGCCTCCAGTCTCAGCCTGTCCCCTGCTACCCCCATGACCTGAATTCAGATTCTGCCTCCAGGCTGCATGAACCTGAGCCTCCCCATTGGGGTAAAGAGAAGTTCTTGCCTCTATGTGTATGTACCTTCAGGGTTCACTTCTTGATCCCCTCACAACCTCTGTGTCTTTTCCCTTAATTCTTATAGAAGGACCAAGATCCCAGGGGTAGTACTGCAAGAGATTAACCCACAGGTCCTCGCCCTTAATCTGCTGTCCACATGAGCCAGGGCAGCCTGGGGCTGACCAGGCCCCTAACCAGTTAAGGAAGTTCAGTATGCTGGTATCCAGCCTAAGGCTGGGAATTCCCCATCCTTCATCTCAGAACCAGTTGACTGGAGAAGAAGCACATGCACTATTTCCTGCAGGAGGACAGAGACAGGGAAGATTCAGGAAGGAATAGCATCCCTCCCTCCCCCATCTGGCCACACCACCCTGGGAGTCAGGTAGTGCCAGAAATGCCAAGGTGGTACTCCTTAATGATCTTTCTGTTCCTGAAGTATGGATTTTCCCAAAAGGAAAATACCAGCTAGCAACAGGACTGTGGATGGCCTAGTTCCTGCACTTGATGGGACCAGGAACATGGAAAAATTAAAGGTGGAATCTAGGGTACTCAGCTTGCCTGTCATACAGGCATCTGTAGAGTCTGTTTATCCCTTTCTAAAGACTCAAACCGATGTATGGACCCAGGTAATAGGATCCCTCCACCCAAATTGCCTGCTCAGCTCCTCTACCCACCTGTCCTCAGTTTCCCTCACTGACCTTCAAATCTGTCAAGTAGCCAACAAATCTTCATCTTTTTCATCGATCATGATGGACATCTGGAGGTAGTTCAACCACCTTAGAGTTAAGGAGACAGTCATGCCACATCCCAAGCAAGGAGGAGTCTCGAGTAACAAGGTCAACCTCATGGAGAGCAAGGGCCTCGGAACAGACATATGTGATTGCTCTCAGTATCCCACTTCCTGAATGGCCCTATCAACATCCCTAGCCTCTGCCACACCATCAGTCATGCTTGAAACTTTGGTTCCCCTTTGGTCCTCAGGGAACCTTGTGTGCATCCCCCAAGGGAATGTTTGTATCTGACTTCTACTGATATATGTCTGGAATATGGATCCTGGGTTGTGTCATGTCAGTTGCTTCAAACCTCAAGATCTGCAGACACTGTGGCATGCTCTGTGCATGGGTAAGTGTGTGTCTGTGAGTTTAGCTAGAGAGACCTGGGTCTTTGACCTGCTTCAATTCTTCAGACGGGGTGGCCTGGAGTTTGGAGTGATCCGGCACTAACTTTGAAGCAGGATGCTCCCCCTTTCACCTCCACCTGGCCTGTGGACAACTTCCTGCTTTTACTCTAAAGGAAACAAGCACTGAGGCTCACACTGAAAGGGATGGGTTGTGGGACTCTAGACATGTCTGCTACTTTCCCAGGTAACCCACAGTGTCAATAATAACTCTCTGGAAATGCAACTGTGGTACACTGTATTATTCTCTGGTGATATATAGTTCCTGTCCCGGGGTACAGTTTCTGTTCAGATGCGAGCCACAAGGAGTTAAACAAATCCATTCTCTGACACCCATAAAAGTGTAGCCATGAACAGGATCTGCTGGCACTGCGTCCTGGTGACTCCCTGCTCCACCCCTCCATTCACATGACCCCCATTCTGCCTGCTGCCATCACCTGGCAGATGCCCTCACCAACACCCCTCCTTCTGCTCCTGTTCCATCTTGTCCTCCTGAGCAGCGGACCCCCATTAAGAGACAGTAAGGATACGACTTTGGCCCAGACACCAGGAATGCCATAGATGATGGAGCTTCTTTGGGTCAAGGGACAGTTTCTCCTCTGACGGCCCTTCCATCCTAGCTGGAGGTAGCCCCTGAGGTCTTTTTCAGTCGCACACCTTACGTCCTGCTGCAGGTCGGCCATCACCACCAGTGCCTCTGGTGTCAGCTGCTCACTCGTGGTTTCAGGCCTTGGATGTTCCTGGCCTTGCTCTCTCACTTCCCCTCCCACTCCTGTGAGGACACCTGCTCTTGCTCCTCCTCTGCCACCACTTCCACCTCCTTCATGATGTTTTCTACCAGCAGCTGGAATACTTGCCTGAGACCCAACACCTCTCCCTCCTCCACTGATGTGCCTTCGTCCACTGCCTCCCCGCTGAAGAGGGAGCCTCCTCACCTGCTGGGCCACCTCTTGCCTGCAATCCCCAACAGCCCCACAGCCCTGGCAGGTCTCAGGGCCCCTGCACCCTGAATACCCTGCCTCACACTAAAGAAGTTCTAGGTTGATCCCAGGGTGTTCCCGGTTTCCTCCGGTCTCATTTTCCAAGTCGCCCTGTACATGGCATAGATCTGTGAAGGACCTGAACGTAAGTGCATACTAGGTGACAGGCACAATCCTTGTGAAGGCTCAGTCTCTTCTTCCAAATTGGTTGTTGGACCACAGCCTATCAACAGGGAAGTTGAGACACGTATGTGGTGGGAGACTTGTGATGTCACACAAGCATAGTAGGCTGGCGGGTGGGGGCTGACGTCCACAGCCTGATCGCCAAACCTCATAAGGAATCAATCAAATGGAGCCTAAAATGTTTTCCATACAGGGACATGACCCTTGGACTTCTGGGCAATCTGGCAACGGTGATCCACATGCCAATCTCGGCTCAAGACAAAGCAGTTGGTGTCTTACCAAAGCGTTTGCTTGAGCATCGGGGTGAATGTTCCAGACAAGCAAGTGGGACAGCCAAGCTAGTTGGGTGGTAAAGGTAAGGAACCTGACCCTGACACTGCAATGTTTCTCAAGTTTGAAACTGCCTCTGAGTCAGCAGGCAACTAGGTATACTGAAGAGTCCACACAGGTGAGACTGTTCTGTGGTACCTCAGTGACACAAGTACTCAGGTAGGATCCGATCTGCAACCCCTGTGCAGGGGGGAGGGCTGAGGAGGTTGGGTTGGTGGTTGGCTTTAGCTTGGGGTATTGAGGGGTGCGGAGAGAACACACTGTTCTTGTCATCACTCTGCTGCAGCAGAGTCCATCTCAAGACATGTACCTTAGTCTGGAGCAGTCTTGGGAACACAGCCAACTTCTGAAGAAGGGCACACCACTTCCCTTGGCTCCCTGTAAGCCCCCCAGCTTCAAACCTGCAAACCAAACCATGCTTGAGCCCCTTGTCATAGGTCTGTCAGCCCCAGGCTTTTTCCATGTCGACAGCTTAGGACATGGACCAAGATGTCTACCTATGTCGCTGTGGATGCACTTCCCAAAGAAGGCGAGCTCCTCACTCAAGTGTTTCAGTGAACAAAAAAGTTTGTCCTTACCATCGCTTATTATGTACTTGCCAGCTGCTTATCACATGGGCACATTCGGTAGTAATTTTGGCCTATGTGTAATATAAACCACTTGGCAGTTACCTCTGTTCTCTCAGGTAACAAGGGAGGCAGAAACCCAGGGGACAGACATGTTCTTTGGAAATTTAGGTGCCCTTTCCCTCTGTGCCCCATGCATGGACCCACAACCTTGCCCCTCTGCACTCCACACACAAGGACGAGACTCCAGAGAAAGGAAAGAATGGAGGACAGGACATTTGGTGTGAGCAATTTAGCTTCTTTAGTCAGACAGCTATTCCCCATTCACCAGAGCCTGCAAAGCAGCCGGGTGTGAGTGGCCTTTTGAGGCTTCCATGTTGCTTACGGTCCTAGGGTGACTGCATGCACACAGGCAACCAAGCCTTGCTTTCTCCTTGTTCCTTCCTTCACATTCCCACATAGGCAGAGGGGCACACACATACTGCTCAGACCTGAACTTTCTTCTGCTTTCTACACTGTCATGAAGGCTAGAAGTGCCTGAATGGATTCCATGCTCACACCCCATCTCTTCTGATGTCTTGGATACACACTGAGAGCTTACTTAACATAGTATTTTTCTCCCTTGCTTGCAATGTGAGCCACACTATTTGAGGTAAGGTCCTGGCTGACTCACTGGTCTGAGAGAGCCCTAGCTCAGTCCTTTACCCTGTCTCTTCCTCACATGAGTGTAACTTATCTCCAGGACATCTGGCTCTTTTTCTGTGCCTCTCCTTGCCAGTGTGTGCTCTTGTCCTAAGGACCTTGTCCTTGCCACTTTGCCGGGTCCTACCCTGGCCTCATCCACCAATTCAACAGGTTAGCTCATGTGCCTGAGAATGGTGGGTCCAATGCCATGGTTTAAAAGCCCCATACCTCATGATTTATTCTGGGTGATGCCTCAAGCACCTCACCCTGCTTCCAACTATCAACACACGCAACAACAACACCAAAATTGTGACCATGTTCATGTCTCTCAATGTCTTTCCAGATTAGTGGACCCACTGTCCTGAGTTGTCAGTGCCCATCCTTTCCTCTTTCTTGTTCGGTACAGGGACACTGTGCTGATGTATCAGTGAGACTCTTCCAGTTTCTATAAACCTCCTGCTCCTCCTGTTTGACCCTTGACTCGTGTCCTTTTGCCTTCATTTC